ACAATAGAATGTTAGAAACACAGTTACATACTTACATATGTACATATGAGCGTATGTGAGTGAGTAAGTCAAATATTTAACCTTCAAAGAATTTCATGTCCGCCGCACGTTTAAAAGTAGTTCACTCGTACATTAAAAAAAAAAAGAATAATAAAAAAAAACAATTTGAAGTGCCTAATTAAAAAATGCTTATGATTTATTTGCATTTTCCTTCTAACCACACATAATCGGCGCTATAAAGACATGCAAACACACACAGCTCCACAATTGACCGTTCAAGCTGTCAATCATTTGCTCGTGCGTCAGCTTGCACTCCCCTTTTCAAACCTCAGCTATTATTTACTCTCAAATTGAAACATCAAGTCATTCGAGTACTTCAGTTTTTCTGCTATTGTCTTCTTTTAATTTTACAGCAGGCAATAATTTTTTCTTTATTTGATATTTTATGGCAAACGCCACGTTTTTACCGTTTCTGTAACCAAGCGCATATACAAACATACGTATGTTATTGTGCGATTTTGTGCGCTTGAATGTAATTGCGGCTACTTGCAAAAATTAAAATGTTTAATGTATTGTTTATTTTTTCAATGTCAAAGTCAATAACGTATTTATTGTTTTTTAGCACAGCATCAGCAGGCCTTTCTATTTCTTATATAAAGTAGTAATGTTTCATGGATGTTAGATATTGCAGTTGTYTTTATTTTTTATTTTTTACTGTTCACAAGAAAATGCAGTTTAAGGTAATAATTATATGCATTTATGTCGATTATGTCCGGCGAAACTATGTAATGAAAAGATATAAGATATGAAAAATTCAAATATCCAAGAACTGGATTCTTTTCCATTTTTTCAAGAAATCAGCTACAATTCGTATGCTTGTGTTTTGAAGAAAGATTGATAAATTAAAGCCATTAATTACCAAGAATACTGAAAAAGAGCTATTTTCAAAGATTTCAACCAATTGCTTACTGAATACGAATAGATTGTAACACATAACCATCAAAATGTAAAGTGTTTTGATTGGTACAAATTATTCAAAGAGTGTCGAGAACCCGTTGAATACGACCAGGACAGCYATCAAAATCAACTGATGATCAACACGTCAATAAAATAAGGGAATTGTTTCTTAAGAATCGACGATTAACAGTCAGAGATCTTATTAGTATCGTTGGAATAACAGAAGGATCAGTGAAAACAATTTTGAAAGATCAATTGGATCTAAGAAAAATGACAGCACGATCGGTTATAAAATTACTTAACTTTTTTTTTCGGAAACCAGCGCCAGGATATCATGAAACKTACTATTACTGACGATGAGTATTGGATATATGTATGTATACGGACCGGAAACAGACGATCAATAGGCTGAATATCGTGGCAAAAGTGAGCCAAAGATGAAGAACCATGTCAAAGCAGGTTAGGAATCAAAATTTTGTTTACAGTTTTCTTTGACTATCGAGGTATGGTACACACCGAATAACTCCCGACCGGCCAAACTGTTAATACGGAATACTATTTGGGTCGTTTGCGCGAAGCTATTCGTAAGAAGAGATCGAAATTTTGGGCCGAAAACTCTTAGTTTGTGCACCACGATAATGCACCGTCGCATACTGCATTGATCGTGAATCTTTCGCCAAATTTTCAACAATTATCGTGCCGCAACCACCTTATTCGCCTTATTGAAGGCATTAAATTAATGAATCGCTAGGCGCAATGAATGCTATTCCGGAAATTGACTTTAACCACTGTTGCGAAGATTGGAAAAAACGTTGGCACCAATTTATTGGAGCCGAAAGAGGATTACTTTGAGGGGAACGACATATATTTATTAGAATAATTTAAGTATTTTAAAGTTATGAACAAAGTCTTACTATTTTTTGCTCATAGTCGCTCTAGCCAATTACCAACGATAGTGTTGTTGTCTTTTCATTGCACGTGTCATAGTTATTTTAATGCCTGCAATTTGAGATTATTTTTATGATTCAAATTGCTACCATTTCTAAGGTATTTCATCAGCGCGTACGTCTGTATGTGTATGTTTGTATGTAAATGGATGCGAGTGCATAACAGGTAATGTGGTAAAGGGTCACCTCTATGTGGCGGCACAACATAGAAACCTGTGTACACAATTAAGCACCGACAGATAATCATAAAAGCACACATACACGCACGCATACATACGTATGTCTGGAATGTTAGTTACATTAAATTTATTTGTTAAGAATTTGTAGTATTTAATGGGCATTGGAATCAATCAGAACCGCACAATTCTAATGTTATTTCTATTTCTATGAAAAGTATCCATTGTATGCTGTAAGATTCGGTATACAATGAGGTGCACATAAACCACAAGTGCATATTGATATTGATTTCAGCCATTTGGCGAAGTCGTGTGAAAGGCCTTTGTGTTTTGAAATTTAATCTCGCCTTTTTATGGTGTTAAATTGACATTGAACATCTACACATGCTTATGTACTATATGTACGTGTATATTTACGAGTTTAGCTGTGTAGTGCATCTCAAACGTAGCGGAAAAGTAGGCAAACTGTGCGTAAGCATTAACTATATTGCAACCCTACAATTTTACGGTGAATTACGACCTTTTCCTTTATAACGGTTTCATATGTTATAGAACTGCACAAGGTTGCATTTGTGTGGATCTTGGTTTTAGAAGTTTTTTTTAGTGTCACTGAATATGAATGAGTCAGTGTCAGTATTTGTGTAAAAGGAGCTGCATACCGAGGCAAAAGCACTGAAGCGGAACTTCAGAGTCAATTGTAATATCGATAACTCTGTTATTAGCCTTCCTGACGGTGTTAGTTGGCGATGAGAAACCTATTTAGTTTAAGGCCAATACCTTGAATAATAACCTCAAAAGCTGTATTATGTACTTCCATATATTCAAACTATCTCCGAAACCAAAAGGTTGAGCTAAAAACGCTTCCATCTTAAATAATTGCTCTTGACAGCCTCTAAAAGCTTACAAGACAAAATTTGCCTTCATATGGGGGGTTTCAAAAAATAACGGGTATTTTCGGTTTTTAAAAATACTATGTATTCATTTCATTCTAAAACTCGGTTTTTGGAATAGTCTTTAGCTCTTTCAGCTATGCGCTTTTAATATAATATATGTTTGTAAAATGACGATGCTTTAAGGATTTCTTTATTTATGTAAATAGGAAAAAGTGACACAGACGTTGCATATCGGGTCAATATGTTGTGTATTGTTTTTGGTCATGAACTCACGAACAAATTCTTTGATCTATTTCTTTTAACGAAYGCAAATAGCCAAACCCATAAAACCACGTCTAACGATGCTAAATCTGTCACGGACAAAGTAAGCAATATTTACAGCTGAATATTTTATCATACTGCAGGGGCAGTTGCATATACTTATCAAAATAATTAACAAACAAATATTGACATTTGGTCTCTCCAAACCCGCGAAATTTTTATTTCAAAATAGCCGTTTTCTTGGGAACACATCTCGTACATTGAGTTGTAAAATTGTATTTAAATATACTTTTAAGTCTAAAAATTCTCACCTAGAGTTTCTTTTTTTAATTTATTTTTTTGTGAATTGCTAGCCTGCCACAATTAATTAATGTTTTTTTTTTAATTTCAGAGGATCCGGTTCAGAGACATAGTTGTCACCGCAATCGTCCCAGATATCAGCTGTAGTTCATTTCCAAATAATAAGTTTTGATAATACTAAGTCCTAAATTCAAAGAATTTGGGAAACTAAATAAGTATCTTGCCTTATGCCCTACACTATTGCAAAATATCTACCATGTTCCGTAGTTACTTGCATACTCATACAAAAAGAAGCCCATTAAAAAACTATTATTACGATGGGTGGAGTAATCTTCAATTAAATGACAACTGAGCTCAGCTTAAGATTTTAAAATAACAATTCCACAAATCTGCAAMAAAAATTAATAAAATAAGCTTTTATAAATAAGGAAAAGGTAAGCTGTCGAACAAAAATCTTCGAATTCGGGTTAAGATAAGCGTGAGTCTTTTTAGTCATAAAGAGGGTCTGCTTAGTAATAATATRCAACATTTTGCTGTCGCACACTTATTTTTTTGATGTTATTTGTTTTCAATATTAAATAATTTTAAAACTAAAAATGTGGTTTCATTATATTTAACCCAACTTACATAAAATTTGCATTTAATATATCTTAAATTAGACTATTCACATTGAAATTCATCAATAAAAGTGAGCTTATTGCAAGTTTCTACGGAAAAAAGTAAATTTCAAGAATTATTTATTACGCTCATAATGCAAAAGATTTGTGTTTCATTTGTATTTATGACAGCAACGATTATTGTGGCAAATTGGAAACAATAAACGAAGATTTTTGAATAAACTATCACAAAATTGATATTTTTTGATTTGACATTCTTTTTGCAAAAAATCCTGGTCGATGCGACACCAGCGTGTATCCTAAATTTTAGTTGTCGGGTAGCACTCATTATTACATTGGTGGCCTTAAGGCTTAACTAAAAAACAACGCTGATGGATACAACATGAATGTATTATTTAAAAAAGCAAAATCCTGAATTACAGTGGAAAATATATTTGCTCTACGAATTTTAATATTTTACAAAGTATTTTATTAAAAATTTWGTTTGATCAATTCATTGATAATTAGTGCCTATAATCAGATGAWAGAGTTCTGGTGAAGAGTAAGAAAATTAAATATCTTTTTGGGATTAAAAAGGATTGATGATGATTGATCAACATTTATTTTTTATTATTTTTGAATTAATTGTGTTATCCCTATTAAACACTTTTTATTGGTAATATTTGCTCTTAAAAGCACATTAACTAATCCACCTTAAAATTTTAAAGCAATAAGCAATTACATACATGGAGCATTTACTTATGCGCTCTGCATTCCCATACCAGCATTCGTATATAATTAKTGTATAAACATTCCTAATACATATCTACTTACATATATATATTATATAAATTCCAAAGACATGCTCACCATTTTCACTGCCATTCTTGCCGTTCTGTACCAGAAAGTTGCTGCCGCTGCTGCTTGTACCACTAAAGCTGCYGTTACTTCCATTTACCGTTAATGCCAGCTGCATACTATTCTTATTGGGCGGTGAATGCATCAGCTGTTGCGGCGTTTGCTGCTGTTTCTGTTCGCCGTTACTTGAAAAATCCTCTGCAAAATGGCGCTGCAACGCAGTTGCTTGCTGCTGCTGCTGTTGTTGTTGTTGTTCTTGTTGACTTACGGTGGCGATGCCGTTTTTTTGCTGCTGGCATACTGTTTCACTTAACTGCTTCATTTCGATATTAGTTTATTTTTAATTTTTTMCGGGCGAAATATTCAATTATTATTCGGAGAATTTGGCAGCTGAAATGCTTAGACGGTTATACTAGCTTTTAAAATGCTGTTTAACTGTAGCACAAACTGTAATTCACAAAACTAATGTTTTGTAGCTTATTTTTGGTGGTTACTAAAAACGCGTTTTTTTTTCAATTTTTTTGTTTGAAGTTATTAAAAATAACAGTAATGTTACTTTAAAAGTCGTTTAGTCGCACTTTGTGCATAAAACCATCAATTTCAAATGGCTGCTTGATATTATTTGTTTGAAGCGCTTCAAGTTGACACTTTGCTTTATTTACGTTAGTTTCCTTACACGCACTTACACTTTATGCATACGTATGTATTTTTTTGTTTTGTTGTATTTTTCACTTTATTCCCAAGCTTTGTTGCGGCGCGTTTATAGTGCTTGACGTTTGGGGTTTGGTGTTTGGCGTGTCGCGTTTCACTTTCCTCAGCATCGATAGCCGACTAAACGGCTCGTCATTTAGTGGAAACCTTTTTATTATGAAAATCGGAAAGTTCTTTTTTAGCTTCTTATTTTTGTTGTTGCCTTCTGCTCTGTAGCTGCTGGTCGCGCGAATATTATGGTACACATATATTTACATACAAACATAGCTTCGCATGTGTGTGTGTATGTGTTTTTGCTTTTTTGTTGTTTCTATTTCCTTCAATTACCGTTTGTGTGCTTGTGGTTGTAGTTGTCGGCGCTTTATATTATTGCTCTGCATTTGAATCGTTGCCAATTCGGCAACTGATTTGTTGCTCAGTGTCAGTATCGGCTTCAATTACATTTACTTTGTCTTGTTTTTGTTGTTGCTTATGCCTTAGTTAGTCGAAGCTATTGAATTTTGTTCGATGACTTCAAGACATGCTACRCTCTCAAAACCGTGTCTAAGACTGAGTCTATGACGGGTAATATTCTCCATGTTACTACGTCATTTACCGTTCTTATTATTGCTGTTTCCATTCTTTTCTCTGTAATTTTGTGGATTTTGCAAAAATCAAGCACAAAGTAGCTCTTTCTTCAAAGTTCTGTTAGACGCTCAATGCTCACGGAACATGTAGACACATGTTACACACACACGCATGCGCGAGCACCAAATGCACGTCAAGCATAAAATCAACACTACTACTCACTCACTCTCGTGTATATTTGTATTTGTGAATGTATGCTAAGGGGGTAAGTTCCGTTGACACATTCGATTCTATGTCATATCTGGTTACTAAGTTGGACTAGTCACCGTAGCGGTCACTGAGTCATTGRCTGTTGTCATTCGCTCACATCTCTTGCTCACGGCTCTCGCAGTGCTTCACACGCTTTTTTGTTGTTGGTCTCAGCTTTAGCTGCAATTGCTTACACTATGTTTTTGTGTTTAACCGACGTAATTTTGTTCACTTTAACTAAACCGCAAAGCACAGCAACAAAGCTTACAGTTAACTTGTCAATAYATACATACATCCATTGTAAACCCGACCACTGTTAGTAATTTGTTAATATTCCAGCTAATGTAACATCGCATTGCCTTATTTACATAAATTCCAAGTGAGCGAATTTATTACAATTATGCAGGTGCGTATACGCAACAAAAGTTTCCACTAAAAGGATGTAATGTTACTCATACGACACAGGGCTCACCAGTGATGGCATAAATAAACTAAAAACTGTTATAAAAACATTGAAAAGTGTTCTAAATAAAATTTACTTTTTATATTTTAAAATAACAAATTTATAAACATCATCTAAATATTAAAAAAAAAGTAAAACTTGTTCTGAAAACAATGAACATTTCTATAACAAAAATAATATTAAAGCAAAAATATTTATGAAAGTTAAAAAAACTTAGATA